CTCATTTCAAAATCAATTGGTTATGAGTGTGGTGAACTTTGGAACTTATATATCGAGTCATTTTTATTTTCAGTGACGATATGGAACAGATAATATACCTTAATAGTTAATCATTACAAACGTATATATACTCGTATGTGTTCGTATTTTGATTAACAATTGTGAATAGGATGGAACTATATAAAATTGGAGAATTGGTTTCAGTCCATGATTGATATGTTTAGGCTAGGAAATAAGGAAAATAAATAGAACAAATGTAAATAATAACTTTTTAATTACCGACTCCTTTGGGTTTGTGTGTGGTGTTTTTTTTTTTGGGTAGGAAATGGAGTAAAGTCGTGAAGATGAGATATTGAGATGGTTCACTTTCGGTAGGGTCAATGAATGAGATGGTGTTAATCACTCAAATTGACTCCTATAAATTCCACACTTTTTCTTCTTTAGAAATTGGAACTTGCAAGTTTTAAAAGTGTTGGCTTTTTATTTTTGTGTGAAAGAAAATATCGGCCCCATTGTTCATCAATTATATAATATCGGTGCGTGGTGTCGTTCTCTTACTTTATGAAGAATTGAAATGGCATAAGCATGTCGACATAGATGTTATTTTTTATTTAATTAATTTTATAGACATATAGAAAATGGTATACGCAAGCTCGATATTGATGTGACTATATATAAACGTTAAATATTTGACAACTTGGCATTTGAAATACATATATGATAAATTGATAATTGATAAGAGCACTTATTTTTCTAGTATATTTCGTGTTAAACGAAATAAGTGCATGTTACAACAGGTGCATTTGCGACACTTAATTAGTTAGCAAACGAAGTAGCACCAGTATTCCATTTTAAATTAAGTAGAACGGATGTGGTAAAAAAAATATAATTTAACTTTTAATCGTATGCGATGTAATAGCTTAGTACCTTCGTCTTAATAAAGCAGGTATTTTCTTAAAAAAAAAAAACTTTAAATCTTGTAGGGAAAAAAAGAGGACGAAAAGAAAATTGACCAGAAATCAATCTAGTGCAAAAAGATGATCTTGATTTATCGAAAACAAAAGGGTCTAAATCAATTTGTTAATGGACTGGACCACTGGCCACGATTTGTTCTCCCAGTTTTAGCGAGCGATAAATTGTGAGAAACTGTTCTTGATGTAGGGGTTTTGAGTCTCCGTCTCAGCTTTGATTTTTATGCAGCTAGTTGGTAACGTGAACCATCCGCAGTTGAAATTAAAATACAGCATTTTAGCTTGGGATCTTGGTTATCGACAACAAGTGATAGCGGATGTTGATAGTCAGTGTATGGTGAAGATGGTTTTGAGTGATACGATGGTTTTGGGGATTCATTGGGGGTTGGTTCGAGCTATCAAGGAGATAATATCACCACCATGGACAGTGTTGCTGCGACATGAGTTTCGAGAAGCTAATTTCATGACGGATTGTGTGGCTTTTTAACAGCATCAAGTCCTGTGGTTATCATATTTTCCAGGATCGACCGAGTATTGTATAAACCGTTGTTATATCATGAAATCACTGTCTTATCCGTGGAATATTGTAATTCCCCCATCTTAGGATTTGGCTTCCTTTTTTAAAAAAAAGAAAAGAAAAGAAAAATACAGTATTATGTTGTTGGTATCATTTTGATGATAATACATTATCATTTGTGATCCATTATTGGAAGAAGAAAGGGAAGAAAAATAAAGACGGTAAAGGGAATCAACATCAAGATTAACAATTAACATTAAAATATGTCAAATTTATGTCTTATAATTGTATGTAATTAGAACCGGAAGGAGTATTATGTTTTCACTTTGTGTGAAATTTCCTTTTATCCGATAAGTCAAAGAAAAGGATATTCATAAGTGGAAAATGTAGACTAAAGGTAATACATATTGTACTAAAATCGTTCAACTCTCTACGAAGGAAATACGTAAACTATTTCCTTTTTAGGAATTTTTCTTAATTAATTAACGAAATTTTAATTTCTGGTTTATATAATTACGAATTTATGATCTCAACTGATAAAATCCAAATATTATATCACCGCTCATGGTAAATGTACTTTGCTAGATTTACGAGTTCTAGATGTATATCTATCTACATGAAAGAGAACAATTTGCAATTTTATTATGTATATTACTCCCTACATATGAAAAAAATAGCTCGCAATGAATTTTGAGAACTTTTCTGAGACGGATGGAGCACAATATTGTTAAGAGATTTGATATCCAACTGATCACTGTTTTAGAAGCTTTTAAGTGTTCGTGTCTGATGGTTACTTGACATTAGTGGCCACATGATAACGTCAATTAAAGAGATGGCAAAAAACAATTGTTTGACCAAATATATATATGTACGTACAGATCGATCACAGTTAGCATTATCCATTTGTCTTTTGCAAAATGCTTAGTTCATCTTGTTGTTCTTAACTGCACAAAATTAAAAAATGAATATACTTTTGGATATGGAAGCGAGTTTGTCTGCATCAAGTTATTATTTTACAAAAAAAAAGGAAAAAAAACAAATTGGGAAAAATATTGGATTGTGTATATCCATCTTGCAGCCGGATAAGAGTAATGCAAAAAAAACCCCAAAAAAATACGTCCTTTGGTCCAATCAAAAGGCTATATTTTTGGAGAGCTTCCAAACTGACTGATAAATCAAGAATGCTCCCTTTTTTTTTTAGTTACAAAACAAAAGCTCCTACGAAGACTAGTGACAATGATTGAAGAAGATTTTTGACATGTATCCACGGCATGACATGCAATAATGCATAAAATTAGTCTAATTACATTTAAATTACTATCACAAAATGAACATTGTGTTTTTTTTTTTTGTTGTTTATATTCTTCATAGAATGATTACCAAAGAACTGCACAATTGTTTTGTAATAAATGAGAACTATTTTCATTCAATTTTTTAATTTTTTTTCAAGGGTTGAAGTTTAGCTAAATGATCTGTTGGAAGCAAAAAAAAAAAAACTTTTTTGATAAACAGCTAAAATGAGCCCCCATTTCCCTCTCCGAACCCGCGTCATGCGGGGTGAGGGGTGTAAGGCCGCCCCAATGCGGCAACCCTCATTGACGGAAGCAAAATTCAAATGGCCAGGTCCATGTTATTTGAGGCTGAGGTCCAATGACTGGTAATATGGGCTTAAGTCACTTTTTCGTGATGTGATTTTCTAAGTCAATTATTCCTTTTATTCCCAAAATAATTATTGAGTTTTTTTTTTTTAACACAAATGATACTAAAAATAAAAATTTTATTTTTTTTAAGAGAGACAAACTGAAAAAATCATCTTAAAACAGACTATTCAAGTAGAAAGATTAAATCATTAGTTTCCATCAACCTTTTTATGAGGGCTAACTTTACGTCTTCCATATGAACATCTGCTTTCTACCTTTTATTTTCAAACAATTTGACTAAAAATTGGTGGGGTGCGCCAGGCCCATGCTTTAGTGCAACACAAGGGCGACGCTTAAAAGCCCGAGTAGCAAGCTACCCTGATGGGCATTTCCCCTAAAAAAATTCATTTAATATCATGTGGGCCGATGGCCCACGTATCAGATATTAAACTGATAAGAACAGATACTACACTTGATCTTAGCCAAAAGGCCGAGAAAGGTATGAGTCTCACATGGCTACAGGCTGTCTCTTTATACCCCTTCTTGCCGCATCTTTCTTGATAGTCTTTCGATGTGGGAAAACTTCCACAAGCCAGTAGTACATATTCTTTTGTGTATAGAGTATAGAAAATGTTTTTATTTTCATTTTTATTTTAGATTTAAGACATGGTTTACAAATGTGTTTCAAGTGAAAATTTAACAATTTATATTTATGTAATTTTTTTAAATAACTAATACTACCATTATAATTGTTTAAACAGTTTATAGTTGCATAGAGGAGAAAATGTTGTGCAACAAGCTTCTTCCTCACAGTATTTCTCCACTACTTCTTGCCTGGTTTAGTCTCATAATTTACATTCTTTTAATTCATGGCCACGAAGTAACATTTTTATTTATCTATAGCTATAACAATGTATTTACGTAATCCCTCTGTTACATAAAAAGCGGAATGAGTTCTTGACATACTAGAAACTTACATTTTAAACAAAGTGGAATTCAATGCACGTTTTAGAGGAAGAATGGGGAAAAAAACACTCGGATTTGAACCATCAAAAAATGTTACATATATAATCACAAGTTCACAAGTTACAAGTTTTAACGGAAAAAAAAAATACTAGCTAGGCACGGGGAAACATGCACAAACCACCATTCTTCTTCTTCTTCTTTTTACAAGACACCAATAATGTAGGAACTAGGGAGGATCTTCTGTCCAATTTTGGAAGCAGAAAAAGATGCACACTTGCAGGTAGCAGCATCTATACACTTACTTAAATTTCTGAAAGATCGAACGAGAACTTCATGACCTAGCAATACTTGAAATATGCACAACAATATTTTCTGTTTTGATATTACTTGGCCTCCGACTTTCCCAAACCTATAATCAAATGTGAGGAGTTTCGACAGTGTTTACCATTTGTTAAAACTCGGGAACAGATGGTTTCTAATTAGGTTTTAATTACCAGCAAATGTAAAAAACTTCCAAAGTAGAAGAAAACTTGATCGAATTCTTATTCCCGGCAATTCATGGGCTCTGCCAAAGATAAGTCAATTTCACACCATTATCTCACTATGAAAATCCTAATACATTAGCCAAAACTAGACCCGTGACAATAAGCATCAAATTACACCAATATCTCATTATTACGTAAGTCAATATATCTGGAGTTTATATATCATTTTCAAGACCCCGAGACAAACTAAGCATCAAATTTATTAGCCTAACTAGCAAAACAAAACTCTAATTTCAAACAGCTCCCCTTTAAAGGTCTAAAAAACCTAAGACATAGATTGAACTTCATTGAAGAAATTAAATACAAATCTCTCTCTCAGAAACCTTTTTTAAATATCTCAATCAAATTGCACAACACACGTTCAGGAAGATCTAGGAAACATTGAAATCTTCTTTATCATTTGAAACTTATTCTCGGCGCATTTACCAAAGGACTTGAGTTTAAGTCTTCTCATCACTTCACCGTGCTCGAGAATATAGCTTATCATTTCCATATCATCATCTTCCAGTCCTTTGAAACCAATAAATGATATCTCTTCAATACTGGATGATAAGCATTTAGGAACGTTCTTAGGGTCCTTCCAACAATACTCGGGATCCGTATAATTATTTCCAGCAAATGCCATTGTAATTTTTAGGACTTTCAATTTGATTGAGCACTCAAGCATCACATTGATCACTGAGTTCCACTGACCATAACGACATCTAAATGTCAACTCTAACTCGGTTAATCTTTCAAACTTGACGACGGGGTTATTGTCGCCACCGCGCAGAGCTTCCATAAAAACTCCTCCCAATTCCAAACACTTCACATGCTTCACAGTTTCAACTAGCTTCACAGTCGATTAGCAAAAACTTCATCAAGCTCCACATCCAAAGAGAGCTTCGCTATCCTCAAAGATGTTGGCATCTTTACAGAGTAGTCCTTCCACCATCGGCAATCATACAGCTCGAGAGATTCAAGCCCGGGTGCATCTATTTCCAATGTCCTATCAATTTCCAATGTTATATCAATCCCGCGGCGAAGCCCTTCTGTAGCTATGGTGAGATGCTTCGGTGAAGGACAAGAAATTCTATCAATGAGCACATTATCCTTGCAAACATCGTGGTGGATTTGGAGAGTATGGAGTAGTGGGCAACCGGATAAAACTTGAGAAACAGAGTGATCTGATTCATATGCCACATAAAACAGACGCAACTCTAATAATTTCGGAAGATGAACCAAATAAGGGACCTTGAGCATGATATAGTACCCTTGTAACATGAGAAATTCTAGTATCCAACTGGTGAAAGGGGCACAAGATGGGCGAATCGGATCATCAGTACTTGAATTTGAAGAATCCATGAGTGTAACATTAAGAATTCGAACACTTCGACCAATTGCATAACATATCCACTTATTAACGTAATCTACTCGGGATTCCTCGAATAGAATCCCCCAACCGAAAGCAAACTTGTCTAAGCGTCCCGCAGGATCCAGTTGAAGTACAACTTTGTTAACGAAATCAACATAATTCATGTTATGTCTCTTGAGAAAACGTGAACTGGGAAAACTAATAAAAAAATCAAGGGTTTTCACCTTAGTCCACAGGAACCTCCACCTCCTAGATAAGAGGCTGGTTGGCACAAGCAGATGTGTTGGAAGAAAGGAAAGGATATGGCAAAGTATTGAATCCGGCAAATCGCTGATCATATCCACCGGAATCCCATCTCCGCGGCACTCTTTAATCTTTTTCATTTGGCCTCGAAAGCGTTCATGAATCACCAAAAAACCCTAAAACCCTATAACAAGCAGTTAAATCAATGTTTGCAAGATCGTGATCCTACGTAGGATCGAAATAGGATTATAAAAGCAGATCATAAATGGGATTAGATTGTAAAATTAACTATACATGTTATAATAATTAATTACTTAGATAATTAGGTTTCAATTATCTTTAAATAAAGTATTTAACATTTCAACTAAAAGAAATGTGTAATTCAATTTTCTTTTATGAATTTTTAGATAACTTTTGAATAAAAACTCTTCTCTTATAGTTCTTCTTTTTATTTTTCTTAGAAAAATTTTTTAAAATATATTTTTCTTAGCAATAAAAGTTTACTCAAATAATATTAGCATCAATTGAATGTGAACCAAAAGAAATAAGAGAAAAAAAATCTCAATAAACTCAATTAATTTTTTTATAATTGATGAATAGTAAACTTGGACCGATTACGATCATGTACGATTCTAACCGATTCCACTCTGATCCCATTGTAAAATTCGAGTTTGATCGATCTAGGATCGATTTAGGTACTTGGGATCGTAGGATCGGACGATCTTACGATCCAGGATCACGAGTTTGCAAACTATGAGTTAAATAGATTTCTTAATTCTTCCATTCCATGAGGAATTGTTTGTTGGGCCCAGGCTATTTTCTAATCCATATAGAATTATAATATTGGGTAATGCTAAATGTAGCCCACATCTATCTTCTGTTTGGCTGCGGTGGGTGTTAGTCCAGCGGTGTCGGGTGTTAATTTCCGACACAACGACACAATATATAGAGACAATCTGATATATTGACATGATTTCTGTTCTTATTATATTTTTACTTCTAAAAAATCTAATAAATCACGTGGAATGTAGCTTGAAACTATCCCGATAACTCGAATAAACACCCCAGGAGGTGATCGTGTGGTGGTTTTTAAAAGTATATGAATATGTTGTCTGGATGAATTATTTTTTGTGTTTAAAAGGAAAACTAAATAAAAAAAAGGGCCTTTAAATAGTGCCCATACTAGTCATCCGCGAGTTTTGAAAGATTGGACCTTGACAAATCACATCGATATTTCTGTCCAATAACCATTATTGGCAGTTTAAAAATCTTAAGTAGTCTGCTATTGGAGATCTGTTCATACTTCGTAAATCTGTTAATGTATCATAGTAGTTTGTTTCCAGGAGTTGGTGAGACTATTCAAATGTTCTAAAGGTTATAGAAATTTGCAAATATGTTCTTTTTCAGCTATAATGAAGCCACTAAATGAGTTTGTAACTCCAGTCACAAAACACCGATTTTGGATCCCGAAATCTAGGGGTTGCAGCCGAAATTAAAATCTTCATGTTCTGATGGCGCGGTTCGGTGCCAATTGGACCTTTGGCCTCAAGTAACGCGATTCGCAAGTATGGATTATGTTCTTCCAAATAATAGTAGTTGTGATATGTTTCAGTTGTTTTGAGTTTGTGCTTTATGGGGTCTAACCAAATTTAATTTGGTTTCTTTCTCTGTTATAGTAATCAATAACCAAACCACGAGCTTAACAAAAAGTTGAGTAATCAATGAGCAGATGCGGTGTTGACTGTGTGATCTCATAAGTGTGGGATAAGCTTACTTGCTGCCCTGAATTCCCTTCGTTATTTCAAGTTTATCTCTTTGCTGCCTTGAATTCCAAATTCATTTTAATGCTTGATTGAATGGGATAAGCTTACTCTTAAAATGGACTAAATTTATTTGCTGACATTGGCTATGTTTCTTATGTTCCTTCTTCCGCACCAACTTCAGAAGTCAGGACCCTTGCTTTCTGAACTTAACTGAGCTCTTCTTAAGATGATGAATCCTTCAACCCCGGGTTATATACATCCTGTGCAAGCTGCTGCAAATTAACATATGATTTTAGTTTCTAATTGGTTCAAAACTAAATGATCCTACATCATCTTCCTCAGTAGAGAAACTCAAGAACCCTCCAGGCTCCTGAGTCCAGACAAATGATTTAGTCGAATCAATAACCACATTGATCAGTCTAGGTTCTATCTTTCAGAAACCAAACCAATTGAGTTCCTAACCATTTTGAATTTTTAAGGATATTTGTCAGTCCTGCAAATTGCATTTAGGAATTGGAAAAATTGGGAAATAAAGTGTTCAAACTATTCACACCCTTCGAAGCACTATGCATGCTTTGTTGCCCTGTGGCGCACGCGCATCTACATTTGCCATATTCAATGGGTTAAGATTCAGTTGAACACTTAGCATTTGAGAATTTGTATCTGACGAGGTGATCTGAAACTCATTAGGCTTGTGTAACCTAAATTCTGTTTCTATGAGAAAAACAGCAAAGCATCTTATTTAAGGTTTCCCCTGTTTGATCATTCAACTGATTTATGATGTGACTGGAACCAGAATACGTCAAATCAACTGAGGTAAAGACCTTGATGTTTTACATAGAAGAGATCAGGATTCAAGCTCTTTGAAGCATACTTGTTAGTATTGATATTACTATAGAAAAAAACTCCATTGACTCAAAATGATTATGTACTTTAAAATTTTCCAATACAATTTGTATTAAAAAAAATTAAAACTATATAATAATTTTAGAATGGAGGAAGCAACAAATTGTTCTACTAGTAGTGTTTGATAGTTGATACTACTATTACAATAATGTAGAAGTCGGAAATAGTGAGGAAGCAACAAATTGTTCTAGTAGTAGTGTTTGATAGTTGATACTACTATTACAATAATGTAGAAGTCGGAAATAGTATTGAAACTATTAGTATTTCATACCACTCTTTATATTAATAGTGTAAAAGTCGGAAGTGGTATTGAATTGTTATGAGCAACGTAGGAGAAACATTCAGAATGAGTTGGTCATTTGATTTCTGCGCTTTAATCAAATGATCAAAAATTGTTGGTGCAAAATGCACGACCTCGTTCATGAAAGTGTTGGAAAATTATTGTTGTCTTGTGAAAGATTGGAAGCCAATTAAAGCGGTGCATGTATCGATCAAATCCTGCAAAATGGAGATGTGAAAGAGTTTGATTCCTTTTCTTCTTTTGAAGTTGCGAACACTCAGTGTGGAGGGTAAATGTGGCTTGCCGAAAGGTTTACTCAAAAGATGTACTTGTCTCTCTGTTTTGATTATTCGGGATCAGGGTTTGTATACCAGCGAGTTTCCAAATTCAATTGACAAACTGAAACACATAAGATTTCTTGAGATCGAAAGCAGTAGTCTCCCAAAGTCTATCACGAAGTTGTACTGTTCGCAGACACTAAGAGCTCGCAGGTTGACGGAAAAAAAGGGGGGGGGGGTTTGGTTTCGAATTTCAATGGGCCAAAGTCTATCGAAAGCAGTAGTCATCATTCTTTTTCATCACTATTGTTATACTTTGGAGCTCTTTTAGGAAACTCTCTCTCAAGAGGAAGGCTGTTTAAATAGTTCGGAGCCAATTAGACGGCGTAAAATTGAGTTTATTGTTTCTATATGCATCTAATGACGAGTTTTCTTTCTTTCTTTTTTTTTTCCAAGAAAAAAATAAAAATAAAAATCCTTGGTTGTTAAATTTCTGAATTTGGTTTGGTTATATATCTTGTCCATGCATACGTTACCGGGTAGTGAATTTATATGAGTAAAAATTGGATGTGATTTCTTTCTACCAAAAAATAAAAATAAATAAATAAAAATTTATACATAAATCATCCTTGGTGAAAAATCCGGTATGAGATTCTTCGATGAATAATATTTTCATCATGCGCATATATAACAAATGATATTTTGTGAAATTGATACATAAATCATCCTTAAATGTAATAAAATATGAAAAGTTTGTTGCGCCCACTACATTTTTTCTTTGTTTTGTACTCGATTTTTCTTTACAGTAAACCCGGCCCTTCATTTTGAAATTAAGACTACCATTATTATTTTATGGTAGTTCAATTCGTTTGTTCGATCCTTTTATTGTATCGAAAGAAAAAATTAAAACTATTAGAGTTTTTGCTACAAGCTACCATAGCTGGAAGGAGAGTAGCTTACTTCCCAGTTCAATTTTGTGGCTACTATTTCATCACGGCGAAAGTAATCCTAAAAAAAAACAGAGAGAGAACAATATGCACGAATCATCGATCCAAATATTGAAAAGGATGAATGCAAAACTATCCACCTAAATTTACACGAATATAAATAAAGTTCCGGATTCGTTAAGACACTGGTTAATTTTCATTTCAAGAATTAGAATGAAATTTTTCTGAAAATAATTAATTACCTCAAGTTTAAGCATGAGTCTTGGCGCTAGGGCTGAGTTTTTGAGTTAAAAAATAATTCAAAAAAAGGACTAGAGAGAAATATAGGTCGAATTTTGGAGAAGAGCAAAATATCGATATCGGATTCTTAAAATTCGATTTTCCCAGAAAATCGGATTCTCAAAATCCAACCTTTCCTTAATACGAAAAATTAATAAAATTAATCAAGATTAAGAGAAGGCCGAATTTTTAAAATCCGACCTTATCATATTAAAATATAATATTTTGAAGAAAAACACTTAGTTTTTTTTTTGAAATAAAATTTTGACCAAGGTCGGATTTTAGGAATCCGATTTTAGTATAAGGTCAGATTTCAAAAATCCGTGTAAGTTTAAATCGAATTTTGAGAATCCGGGTAAGATAAGTTCGGATTCTCAAAATCCGATTTCTTAGTAAAACAAGTGAAATGTCGAATTTTTGAAATCCGACCTTCGACAGAAACTTAGAAAAAAAATAAAGGATTGGTTTCTAAACAGCACCAAAACCAAATTTCACGCATAAAATTACCTATAAACACATTCTAAACACATCGGAACAAACATTAACAAATTCAAAAGCATTCAAATCCCAAAATCATCCAAATTACAACTAATAAACATTAAAGAGTTTAAAATCAAAGAGTCCTATAATTGAATTACTTGGACGACCTTTTCTTCCTTATAGCCCCGTCGCAGGGAGTATATTTCTCGGCCGGTTTACTAACCCTATCACTCTTGCGACCCTATCACTCTTGCGAATCTCGATCGTTTTCTTTTTCTTTTGGGAAGAAACACGAGGTGGAGAAGAAACACGAGGTGGAGAGGACTCTTCTTCTTCTTCTTCTTCTTCGCCCCTAATGTAGTAATCCTCATCGCTTTCATTGCCTTCATCATCTTCATCATCTTCTTGCATCGGAGTTGGATTGGGATGAACTATGATTGTTCGATCTGAAATTCCCGGTCGCTTCCTCCTTCCTCCTCCAGTAGGCTTCGATGTTGTCTGCGTGAGCACCACATGTTAACTTGACTCTGGGGGTCTTTTCTGAAGAACCTGAGTATCGGGCTGAGTGCTCATATCACATGGGCCCAAAGTCAGGGCACTGAAATTCTTGTCGAAGATTTGGAAGAGTTTATTCTCTAGACTACCACCGAGGCCTGGATTTTCCCGTAAGGCTGCATCAGCGAGATGATATATGTCGCTGAGATTTGAAGACTACAGAAAATTGAACCATGTTAATAAAGTATAAGATATAGCAAGAATTAAAAAATAAAAAAAATTTAAAATAAAATATCGACATATATCTTACATAAAATCTCTCCAAAGATGAAGACGAGTGATAACCCTGTGCCAGAGGGCTGTATTGAGTGGGATCAGTCATAAATCTGATAGTCTTCTTTTGAAACCACGGCATGTAGTCTGATGTGCACTGAGGACCTAGTTCCGGATCAACCAATTCATGAGGGACCATGTGCTGATCTCTCACATTCCAATGAGGTCGTACCTCGGTGTGTTTTTGCACCCAATCATCATATGCCTTTCCAGTCCCAAGGCATCCGTGGTGTATCGCATTCCAGCGATCAATGTCATTGATTAACGGGTACTCTGGCACAATTTACTTACATTGAAATTGACGAAGGACCCGATTGGGCCCGTATGGTTCTCTGATGGCCCAACAAAAGATCCACGTCCTACAGAGGTAGAAATGAACCCCCTCTTTATAGAAATCAGGGAGATCGTCGATGAAGGGAGTGTATGGAGTCCATAGAAACTGGCCAAAATTAAAAAATTGGTAAAAAAAATAGAGAAAAAAATAAAAAGAAATTTTATCGAGTAACTTAAATCAATACTTACATCACCATTCCTTAGGCTAGATAACTGATCCCTGATGCTAGCAACACAATGAGCGGCGATGTTCACTTTGGATTTTGAGCATTTCCACCTACGATTGAGACATAATAGGAAATAAAAATTAATAAAATAAATCATTAGATTGAGACATAATAGGAAATAAAAATTAATAAAATAAATCATTGGATTGAGACATAATAGGAAATAAAAATTAATAAAATAAATCTATAATTACATATTGCCTAGTGGAGCGTCCGGCACCAAGTAACTCTCATCTTTAACCTTCCTATTCGGTTGAAGTCTTGGGATACGCTCCCAAATCCATAACTAAAATTTTAAATCAAACAGAAAAGGCACAAATTAGAAAAACAAACAAAAATATAATAAAAAAATATAAATAAACAAAACAACAAAAAAAAAATTACATGCATTAGCATATAACATCCGGTAATGTCTTTCTTCCCGGGCGCGGAAGCTTGACACAAAGCAAAGTACAACTTCGCCAACACAGCTGACCCCCAACTGTAGGTAGCACAGACATCCAAATCCTCGAGTATTGTCAGGATCCAAAGCGGTATTCTGTTTCCCGTATTGTCAGGAATCAAGAAACCTCCAATTAGTAGTAAAAGTAATTCACAGGCCCTCTGTGTATAGGCCTCTCTTGGGGCATTTTCTTGGATCGAACGCTTACACTCGTTGATTAAACACTCTGCATAAATCTTATTCCCATCAAACATGTCACTGACGGGTGTAATTCCCAACAATCTAAAGCACATCGCCATCCACTGTGCCATAGAATTCTCAGGTGTCATCCCCTCCACAGGCTTACCATCCACTTTCAAACCTAATAACACCTCAACGTCTTCTAGAGTGATAGTGGCCTCGCCAAAATGAAAATAAAAGGTATGGGTTTCAGGCCTCCACCTCTTAACCATTGCGGTGATCAAACAATTGTCCGCTTGGATATAACCTAGTTGGATCACCCCCCAAAGCCTGCCCACTTTATCTCTTCTATAACTTGTGGAGGGCAATGCCGGGATGGTTTCTCTATACACGTCCAAAAATTAAATCAAATCTCCTACCTTTAAGGGCTTTACTGAACGTCTCATGGTTCTCGAAAATGACTTTCGCCCTATGATGGTCATAAAGGTATAACAAGGAGTCATCTATTGGAGCCGGATTAAAATGTTGCAGTGTAGGTTGCGAGGAGCTCGAACCCTCTATTTTTTAATCCTACAACATTTATCAATATCAAAACTATCAACATTCATCCAAAAGGCACATTTCAAAATTAAACCCTACTATCAAAACACTTGTATACTATCAACAAAAACATAGTAATTAACAAGCATGCAGAGAGCAATAGTAATTAAAACCATAACAAAAACATAGTAATTAACAAGCTATGAAGTTAGACAGCAATAGTTACAAACATCAATACACACACAGAGCAATACACACACAGCAAACAGCAATAGAGTATCCTTGCAATCACAACCGGCAAACAAATCCAGATACAATTCTCCTATAGTTCATTCAGATTCTAGGGAAAAAGAAAACGAAACAAATCCAGTCGTTCATTCAGATTCTAGTGAAAATATACTTACAGATTATTATGAATTCAACGAACAAAAAAACAAAAAAAAAAAAAAGAGAAAACAAATTATTAAACAAATTACCTACAGGGGGAGTCGCCGGGGAGGGGTGGAGTCGCCAGGGAGGATGGAGTCGTCGGGGAGGAGTGGAGTCGCCGGGGAGGGTGGAGTCGCCGGTGCCAGGGGGGAGTCGCCAGGGAGAATTCGCCGGTGCAGGGGAGTCGCCGGTGCCGAGTTTGACTGGAGAAGGGGCAGTCGCCGGGGATTTAGGAGTCGATTAGGGCTGGAGAAGAAGGGGTAGTCGATTTTGACTCCCCCAAATTTTGGTCAAACGTATATATTCTCCCTGAAAATCCGATTTTCAATATAGGAAAAGGTCGGATTTTAGAAATCCGACCTTGGACAGAGAGTTTTGAAATTAGTTTCAAATTTTCACCAAAATCCGACCTTGGAGTGAACAGTGCAAAGATTGAATTTAAGAATCCGATTTAGGTCCTATATCGGATTTTTGGAATCCGATTTTTCGAGAAACTCGGATTTAGGAAATCCGACTTATACACTAGATCGGATTTTGTAAGTCCGACTTATACCCTAAAACTACAAAAAAACACTTGATAATTGTTGCACCTGGCCTTTTTTAACAAGTACTAATATCAAACACAACAACAATACATTAAATGAACTAATTCATTAAGCATACAATACAATTCGAAAGAACTAAAACATAAACTACAAATCGAATAAACTAAAGCATAAACTACAATAGTTTTGAGACATGAAACATTGTTTTGAGACATAAACAACAATTCAACCAAACAATCCTAGTCGTTGTGAAGACCATCAGCGTCCCAATTGATCTTGAGCCTTGTCCTATTGGATTTCTTGTGTGATTTTGGGCACGCATTGGTGAAATGATTCCTTGAGCCACATCTCAAACATTCACCCCTCGATTTGCGTCCCCTATAATCCATTTGCATTTTAAATCTCTTCTTTTGCCAATGACCAGGTCGAGCATGCATAATAACTCGCTCGTAGTTAGGAACGAGTCTCCATCCAACCATAGGCCATCTTCTCTTATCAGGGACCGGGGAAAAGTCATCGCGCCCACTGAATTGGTCTTGCCAAGCAACAACCCTGAAATATGGATTCAATGTATTTATTGGTTGATCTTTTATCTTCCGACACATGGCTAGTGCATGTGTACAAGGGAACCTATACTCTTGCCACTTCTTGCAAGAAAACTTCTTCTCTTCATATTTCACAGTGTACATGTTGTCCCCTTTACCACCAAGTCGGGCTCTACTTTCAACCTTGAACTTGCCATTAATAGCACCATAACGGTTGACTTTGTGTTGCGCGGCCTTTTTTTCATTTTTCTTGAAGTCTTCCCACAAGTCAGTTGGGACCGGCGTAATACATTTGCTCGACTTCACGTATTCTTCCTGGAACAAATCCACAGTCTTAATAGAAGTGGCTTCCACCAAAGCTCGGATCGGCAAGAAACGAACGCCCTTGAGGACGTTGTTGTAGCTCTCAGAAATGTTGGTTGTCTGGTTACCCCAACGATAGTGTTTGTCTTTGGCAAGAGTCCACTGACAAGCATCAATCTCCTCGAGATACAAATAAGCATCATTGCTCAAAACACGTAGCTCTTTCCTTAGTTCTTTGAATTTAGACTTTGAAAGTTTCGGGCACATCTCCCAACACAACCTTTTGATCTTTTTACTTCGAAACTGCGCCACCAAATTACTACGGACGTGACGAAGGCAAAACTGGTGGTATGCATTCCATTCGGGCATTAGGCATATTGCACTGATGATACCCTTGTACCGATCGGATATAACACACACAGGACGGTCGGATATAACATGATTCCTCAAATGCTTCAAGAAGAATGACCAACTTTCCTCACTCTCTTCATCCACGATCGCATATGCAATTGGCAGGATGCATTTATTCGCAGTTTTGACCATTGCAGCAAGTAATTTCCCTTTGTATCCGCCACGCAAGTGCGTCCCGTCGATACTAATCACCGGAGGACATTTAGCAAAACAATCAATTGCAGGCTTCAATGCCCAAAAAATGTATTTGAACGTCCTCTCTATATCGATCCAACCCGGTTGCCATTCCCACTCTACAACTGTGCTGGGGTTGCTCTTCTCTAGGGCGGCGAAAAACCTAAATTAAAAAAAAAATTAATGCTTATTTTATTCCTAAATTACAAACAAATCAAAAAAATTAGATAGGACATAAGTAAATACCTTGGAAGTATGTCAAAATTGGAAACCCAGTCACCGTAAACAAGATCGATAGCTTTTCTCCTTCCCTCCCATGCCCTGTGGTAAGGAACATCGACATGCATACGGTCTTTCACTTCTTCCTGAATGAGCTTCACTTCAGAATCTGGGTCCAACTCAACCTTATGCCTTATGAGATGAGCAATAAGCGTCTCACATTCTAATTATTATTTTCCTTGGTGACATTCATGCAATTGTGCTCGGGCACTCATTTCACAATCTCCCACAAACTGTGGTCTCTCAAGGAAGCACGTACCTTCCAACGACAAGGAACATAACCCTTAGGGGTTGACTCTTTTAGGGATTTGCACCAAATATATCATGTTGAACCATCACTTTCCTTCACATAAAACTCTCTCTTTTGCTCTATGTTCCACGCTGCAATACCATTTTTTGCTTCTTCCTTATTCTTGAAACAAGTCCTTATCCCGATTGTTGCGGTTGTCCCGTCCCACATGGTAAGTTGAAATTCATCCTTGTCCACTTTTGTATGATCCCATGTACCCTGTGAACGATATATGTGCCTGTCCTTTGTGGCGAATTTGTCTTCAACCTCTTCATCACTCTCCCGACTTCCTTCGGATATTGATTGGTTTTTATCGCTTTGATCACTTATCGATGTGTAGACTTCATCATCTTCACCGTGATTATCTTCCATGTCATCGCCATCCTCCATAAACGGTCCACCCACATCATCATCTTCCATGTAATCGACATTCTCCACATTCGGCCTACCACTACTTGTCCCTACTTCCAAATGGGACCTAGAAGTACCCGCCACCTCCAAATCCACATACAAATCAATATATGTCGAATTTGGGAGGAAATACAATACTTGCAACGATGCGTCGTCCTTGATTTTGGCGATATGCCTAAAACCATTGCCCATCGTATCATACAAAATCGATAGACTCAAATTCACATTCTCTCTATTCCACCCCGCTCTTTCACAAATCAATCCAACCAAATCATTGTACAATACCTTATGATCAATCACAAAGGAATCGTCCGGCATGTTGTTAAAAGTATTCACAATCCCATTCTTCACAACAAATTTGCTCGACCAATAGACATTAATGAAACCTGGACCGTTAAACGCCATTTATATCTGTTGATTACATGAATTACAACACATTATGAACAAATTATTAAAAAAAAATACACAAACAAGGTATTATCAAACAACTTATTATAACAATTACCACAAACAAGGCATAATCAACACTAAATTCACTAAACCCCCTACAAATTCAAAAGTTTAGGCCAAATTCAAGCATTTTACTAAATTGAACGTTCAATACCACGTATACAACAACAATTATCAACTACATCCAACATCAACCCTAAAACCTTATAAATCATCCTAGTTCTACACTTTTACAAAAAAAACAACAACAATAATTCTAAATACATCAAAACAATAACTAACCTTCTTGTGAAATGGTTTTAAGACATCCGTTGCGAAGAATCGTGAACAAAATCTTCAAATCGCCACTAAAATCACCTCCTTCTTCAAGAAATCGCCTCCTTTACCAAAATCCCGATATGTGAATAGTGTTTTTCGTCGTCCCATTATAACACAATAAGGTCGGATTTCTAAAATCCGAGTTTATAAGTAAGATCGGATTTTCTAAATCCGATTTACATGTAAGGTCGGATTTTAAGATCCGACCTTCTGTCCGCTAATAACGTCCATTCAATGCCGATATCTACTGTTAGGTATGCTTAAATCCGACCTTGTACTGTTCTTAATTTTCAAATCTCCCGCCTATATTTTATTGTTCATTAATTGACTTTCAATACATTTTTCTCGCATGTATTTTCCGAAATTTTTTTTATTATTTTATTAAATCGGATTCGTAAAATCCAAATTACTAATTTAATTAGTAGTTCGGATTTTGTAAATTCGATCTCCGTATTTTGCTTTACAAAAAAAAAATAAAATAAATCTCTCTACTCTTTTTTCTAGGTAATTTTTTAACCAAGGCACCCCGCTAGGGCTAATGAACCCTTCCTCCACTGCTTTGTCTATGAAGCACAACAAACTATTGTAATAACCATCTACATTTAATAATCCCACGTGAATATATATGTTTTTTCCAATAAGTTTTTTTCTATTTCTTAAAACTGTTTAATTATTATATGAAAATTTGAAACTTAATTCATTCAAATTAAGGTCATGTTTGATAATCCAATTCAACACTTAAATTGATTAAGTGCTTATTTGATTAGTACTGTTTGATAACACAATTTCATTACAAGTTAATTGATTAATAACTTAACTAATTAAGTACTTAAATTTTAAGTGCGTTTGATAACTCAAATTAGGATGTCTTAATAAATTAAGTGAGTCTGAAATGCTAGTATAAATGTGAGTCTAAAAATAACTGATAGAGTTATCACTTATGTCTGAACTAAATTCCTGAGATGATTTTTTTTCTATTTATTTACTTTTATGTTTATACTTTTAATGTTTTATATTGAAATATTTTATTAATCTTAGTGTTTGGTTATAAATTAAAATTTATTAAATTATTTTTATATAAAAAATATTTATTTTAATATAAAAAAATAAAATACGAATAAAGTCCATTATAAATATATATTTATCATAAAGATGTTATTTCTTTTTTGACAATGATAAATATATAATATTATTATTAACTGAAAAAATAATTGTATAATAAAATTTAAATATTTTTATTACATAACTTTATAGTAATAGTATTATCTTAATAATCATAGTTTCATATACATACATATATATAATATATATATCAATTATTTTCTTAGATAAAATTATAGGTCGAGATACTTTAATTTCAGTGTTCGGACTTCAGATTTCAGACATTTTATTCAGTCTTCAGATTTTGATTTTTATCAAACAAGACAAATTTAATCAGTTCAGTACTTATGATTCAGTCTTCAGATTTCAGACTTCAGACCCAAATTAAGTTTTATCAAATGGGGCCTAAGTTGGAGATAATAGTAAAACTTATTCACCGGTTTGTCATGGATACCAAGTTGAGCCCAAGTGATTACTTCACGAAGCTCTTCCAGATCTCCATATCCACCTAATTAATTTTACCAAGTATGTATTTTCAATTTCTTTTTTTTTTTATGCATGGTGGAAATCATTTGTTTACATTATTGAATTGTAATGTTCAAACTAATATATCTGTTTCCAGTTGGGAAAAGTGTCGATTTAGTCTAAACGTTTGCTCAGTCATTGATTAGTTTAAACATTTGTTCTAGTTGTCGATTTCATCCAAAGGTAGGACTTTTATAATCGAGTTAGCATTTTGGACGAGAATACCGCTCAAACTAATTTAAATTAGCCCAATTAGTATAGAAGTTTTCAAAAATTGCCCCTTATAGTATAAAAAGATTACAAATTATTTTTTTTGTTTGTTGTTTTTTTTTTGATATTTACCAAAATGATATTTATCAATTTATCTATTTATTTTCATCTAATAGTCTCTTAATAACCATTATTTTTAATTTTTTTGGTGTGAAATATGAACTCCATTTTTTTTTTGGTCTTTCCTACATGTTATAGATACATAAGAAACTATATTATAAATTCTTTTTTTAGACACTATTTTTTCTATATGTTATAAATATATACAAAATTATGTTACACCTTCATTTTTTCAATGATTGTTTCTTTTTTCTTTCATATTAATTAAAAAATTGTATTTTTTATTTTTTTCTTGATCTCTCTTCATAACTTTTCGTAATATTCCATACCACTATCTATAAAAAAAATTTCTTTGTTGCCAACAGTGATGCATAAGAAATCAATACATGTATTTTTATCACTTTCAATGCCGCAATCACCAATCAAAATTAACAAATTAACGCAACTTAGTTTATACAAGAAATTTCATATTTTAGTATTTATTTATATTAAACTCGTCAAAATTTGATTTAGATCAGGGGGTTGGAGCTGTGAGAGATGACTGCTAAATCATATGGAAAAACTAGTGTACAATACAATATATTTATCTATTATATATGTATGTATATATTGTAAAAACAAAAGAAAAACTATTTAGAAAATAAAAAGTGAATTTGTAACATAACTTTATCTATTTATAATTATTTAATGTAGAAAAATTTAAAAATTCAAAAGTAAAAGTTAGCATTTCAAACGAAAAAGAAATTAATTTTTTTTTGTTAATAGGATATTTAGATGAAATTACATGTAGACTCAGATACTTGTCAAGTTCATGGTTTCGTGACTAGTTATTTATGAAATGTTTGTGATCGGCTAATTTCATATTCAAATCATTGTCAAGTCCATACGTTCATTACGGCTCTTGAGATGGTGTATAAGTTGGATTTCCCTGGACAACACGTGGTTCTTGACATTGATGAAGTGATTAAGGTCTGGGAAGTTTTTGGTGAGGCACAACGAAGAAAATGATGGCTCAATAAAGATTGAGAATCATTTCTTCGATGACCAGTCCCTTGCTGAGTACGTGACTGCATAAGGTGTTTTGTAGTGGATGGTCCGATAAAGGTACGTGATACGCCAAAGAGCTATTTTTTGTTTTAAACACAACATTGTATTGGAATTGGGCCTCATTTATTAGCCAACATGTTTTCTCAACAAGTTCTAAGCATCCAAGGATAGGTATTGGGGTTAAAATTGGGTTGGGCCTACTGATATATTTTACCAAGTTTTTAAGCGTCTAAGAGTTTGTCACACGCATTGGGCCATTGTTAGTAATAATACATTAAGGGTTTCGATTTTTTGATCAAATGCTTTGAATATTCAGAAACTGTTTTTTCCAATTAACTCTCAAACCCTAATTTCCATTTCTAATTATGTCTTGATTTCAAACCCTCCTATATTTTGTTAATTCTTATGCGGTACCTGACAGACCTATTTGTTTTGAACAGGGTAAGAGACTATACCCGTCTGAGGTGCTTATAGAGGATAAGCTCCCTCTCCTCCCTAGTGATTTCATGGCTGTCATTCAGAGGCAGCTAATATTGATCAATGTGCGTGAGAAGTTGGAGGTTGGTTTTACATTTTCTACTTTCATTATTTCAGTTAAGTTTTATACCGATTTTAATTTTAAATTTTCAAACCAACTATTAATTAAATTAAAAACAATAGGGCGATGTGTTTTGTCGCCGCCGACATGTTGTTGGTGATGATGATTGGCACGCAACTATTGGAACTGAATATTTGCATGAAAACAACCAATTTTGGATAGAGTGTCAGGATTCCAACGGACCATCCAAAGGAATGCAGGGCATTATTTATGTAGACTTTGAGACGGTTGTTCAAAAAAACTGGCTAAGTCTCCTCTGTTACCAAAGAGAATAATGAAGTCCATCGTGCGAAGGTGAAAATAAATTTTGGCTCATTTTAAAGAGGCTTAGGCTTATGAATTTTAAGTTGTTGTTTATTCATCTTGCTATCCTTTTTTTTGACAAAAGAAGTGTACACTTCTCCAGCTGAAGTTTTGAAATTGAAGGAAAAAGAATCAATTAAGCAGGATGGGTTGATGATTTATTTTCTAAGCCTACTGGGAAAGAAACAGGTAATTGGATCCAAACCTGTTACCTTGAAACTTGTAAAATGTTATTTCATAGACTACCGTTGAATACATGCATGCATGTTTCTGTGTGTTTTAAAGTAATTTAGTTGGTGATTTGTATTTGCGGTGTGAGAGAGGTGATTAAAGATCGCTTTGAAATTGGTTGTTTCCGTTGAAATTGACAAAGTCAGCTCAATATACCTCTGAAGACTATGTGATGGGTGAATGTTACGAACACACTAATATTATATAATATATTTCAGAGTTAAGTGAATGTTCTTATTCTAGTTTTTAATTTGGTTTATTAGCTACTATTTATAAGTAGAGCAAGGACTATGCTAGAGATTATGCCATAGGAGTAATGATACACAACACACCTAATTTATCTCAACCTTGTATCTCACGTTACATGTCATTTAATTATTGGGTGAATTCTAATAAGTGAATTTAATTAATTTTT